TCTTTCTTTTTTCCCTTTTGAGAAGGGTGAACTAGGATCTGAACTCGAGTCATTGAGCTCCAAAAAGGTAGCTCGTGCTATACGAGCAAGATACTCCTGGCTTGTCCAGACTCCATACTCCAGACTGTTTACACTCCCATTTTTCAGATTTTCCGCAAACGCCTTTTTAGAAATCAGGCAATTGTTTATTTAAAATAATAAGAATAATAAATCAGGTGATTGTACAGCTTGAAGACCGACTTTCTTTTATAACACTATTTACTTTGAAATTGGAATAAAGGATATCCTAGAAAAATGAAAATGCAATACAAGAAGTAGAACAAGAAATTCTCTTTCTTTTGTGGTGACCATGGCTACAAAACCAATATATTACAAATATAATGTTGACGTTGATCTCTGTTCTCCAAAATCTCAAAGTTTATTTCTTCCTTTCTTTCCCAGCTATATAATTCATTTAGAAATCAAATATCCAATATACTAGTATTTTAAGGTGTTGTTACAAAATTAGATAGACTATTTTTTCAGTGACCACTTGTTTTCATGAATGTCAGGATATAAAAATTTTAAAAACTGACCACTTCTTTTGCTACTGACAGATACCGGGCGATAACAAGTGCCTACTACCGAGGAGCTGTTGGTGCATTGCTTGTCTATGATGTCACCCGACATGTTACATTTGAGAATGTTGAGAGATGGTTAAAGGAGCTACGGGACCACACAGATGCTAATATTGTGATCATGCTTGTCGGAAACAAAGCTGACCTACGTCATTTGCGTGCTGTCTCCACTGAAGATGCTCAGTCCTTTGCTGAGAGAGAGAATACCTTCTTTATGGAGACCTCTGCTCTTGAATCCATGAATGTTGAGAATGCTTTCACTGAAGTGCTAACCCAAATATATCGGGTGGTCAGCCGGAAAACTCTTGATATAGGAGATGATCCGGCAGCGTTGCCTAAAGGACAAACTATTAATGTTGGAACCAAGGATGACGTGTCAGCTGTCAAGAAAGTTGGTTGTTGTTCTGCCTGAATTTCAATTTGAAATTTGAGGTATCATATCACATGCTCCTCCGTTCTCCCTCACCTGCCATATATTTATATCAAATTATTTTCCTGTGTAATGGTCCATCTTCCCATCTTTTTCACGCTTTCATTAGTGTGTTGGATGCCTTTTCACAATTTGGATTCTTGAACAAAATGCAGAATTCTTCGAAAATACCTCTTTTTTTTATTTGTAGTAATACTAAAGTAGTTCACTTATCTCTTTCTCATGTATTACTTTATCCATTTTTACTTGTGTAATTCTTGTATTTGCTTCTTTAGATAGGAGTTGGCTTTGAACAATTTGGTTTTTTTGTATTTGATAAAAATGATTTGTTGGCAGTGCTTTGATGTTTTATCTTAGCATATATATAGATATA